GCTGTAATACGCGTTCAAAGTTGAAAAATTGAAATGAAAAGCAGTGTTTTCACATTTCATTGATTTGCTCGAAAACTATAATAGGATAGAATGAATCAATAATGCATATGAAAGCTGAATGTTTGGGGAATCCAGCAAGTATAGATACATTCCTGTGCTCTTATCCATATTGCTAATACAACTTACATCTCGAACCATAATTATCGATGCTGCATGAAAAACTGCAATCTTCTTCATAACGATCAAACAATGCTCAAGATCAAAGCCCATTGTTCTCGAAGCCATTTGAAAACCGCACGGTTTTAGATCATCTAGAACCAACATCAAATTTGGTTTGTCTGTGGTGAGGAGACAAAGAGAAGATAGATATCCGTTCATATCTGGACCTAAAAATATCCAACAAATTAGGCAAAACATTACATAGCCAAATAAAATAGCTTCAATTTATGCAATTACGATAACTTTAGAAAACTTATATGCGGTTTTTATACAAAATCCATCCATTTAATTACCTTGTTCTGTGGTCGTTTCACATTATTTTTAAATTATATTCATTTCCTAAGAATATAAATTTTACTTACCAAGTATTTTGTAAATCAATGGTAATGTCTTTGAGAACATCTCCATTTCCGTCTTGAAGAAGTTTAACTTGATCGTCCATTCTTCGACAATCGTTCCCCTCGGTTGGATTTTGACGATGACGGAAATCACCTTTTGCGGTTTCCTGTTTTTGTAAATGTTATAAGTGTTACTTTAAACATAATTAATTAAAATTGTTAATGATTTTTATTTAAATTAAAAAAAAAACTGGACGCGTAAAACTGGATAAAAGTAATAAAATAAACGTACTTGGTTGATGCATAACATTTAAAATGAAGCGTAAATATTGGAGGACAAGGATTTGTGAGAATAAAACGAAGGTTTTACAATGACATCCCATATAAATACGTAGTGAAGTTAATGAATTATCACTACGTAATTCAATATTATAATATATATAAGAGAAATATGTTAAATTAAAAATTTTTGCCAGTATTATTTAATTAATGATAAAAAAAAATATATGTATATAGACATTTACAAAAACAAAATGAGCAAATCTGTAAATGTTTAATTAAGTTTTAAGTTCTAGAGGATTTGGAAAATTTTAATATATTGTAAATACTCATAAAAAATTAACGTATTTAAAAGGTTTGTTAAAAATTTAAAATAATTTTTTCGGATTTTTTTTGTTTAATTTTATGAAATAATATTTTCTATAAGAATTGGAAATAACGAACATTAATTATTATTATTTTTTTTGGTACCAATTTGATATAGTGCGTGTATATTTCATAGTTGAAAGTGGAAAATTAAGATATTTTTCTTATTTAATATGAAAAAAAAATGTCTTTGATTGTAATTTAATTATTGCCTTTTAGTTGTAAAAAGAGCAATAAATGATGTAATTAATTGTGTATATTATAATTTTCTAATTAACAAAAAAAGGAGAAAAAATCTCCTATTGAAATGAAATTTCAATCAGAAATTTTCTGAAAATTGGAGATTCTTTTATTGTTTTAAAAATACTTTCTAATTTTATATTACTTGTAGCAAATTTATTTTATTACAAATAAAAAATTGAAGAAAATTATATAAATTATTTGGAAGAGAAGATGAAGTTTCTCAATTGAATAATTATATAAATTTTATGAAAAAAAAAAAACATGAAATTTTCTCAATTTCTTTATATAATTTATTGATTAATTAATGAATAAAGAAAATAAGAGGAGGCAATACATTTTAATGTATTTAAAAGACATGCAAATATTTTAAAAAAGAAAACATCAATTAATTGATTATATTATAATTTTCTAATTAACAACAAAAAAAAGGAGAAAAAATCTCGTATTGAAATGAAATTTCAATCAGAAATTTTCTGAAACTTGGAGATTATTTTATTGTTTTAAAAATACTTTTTAATTATATATTACTTGTAGCAAATTTATTTAATTACAAATAAAAAATTAAAGAAAATTATATAAATTTTATGGAAGAAAAAAATATTTTTTTAGAAAACTAAAATAATATAAATTATTTGGAAGAGAAGATGAAGTTTCTCAATTGAAAAATTATATAAATTTTATGAAAAAAAAAACATGAAATTTTCTCAACAGAAAAATTATATAATTTATTGATAAATTAATGAATAAAGAAAATAACAGGTGACAATAAATAAATACATTAAAATTTAAGACATTCAAATATTTAAAAAAAAAAATCAATTCCCAAACTATAAATAGCTGTAATTTATTGTTTACTGCATCAACTGCAATTAAAACCAATAAATTCACGAGGAATTATGGTAATAATATTTCTGTTTTGATTTATGTTTTGTTTATTACATTTTTGGACATTTATAATATATGCATAAACATATATTATTCAGTTGAGTTAATGAACAATATTTGAAAATAATAAATTTCAATGAATAAATGAAATAAAAAGTTTATAGATAGAAAAAGGAAAACAATTACTAATTATATATTTTTTTTAATGAAATTCATTGAGTGAAAACATCAAAACAAAAATAATTTAAATTGAAAGCTATAAACCTATTTTTTCTCAATAGAAAACTAAAATAATATAAATTATTTGGAAGAGAAGATGAAGTTTCTCAATTTCTTTATATAATTTATTGATTAATTAATGAATAAAGAAAATAAGAGGAGACAATACATTTTAATGTATTTAAAAGACATGCAAATATTTTAAAAAAGAAAACATCAATTAATTGATTATATTATAATTTTCTAATTAACAACAAAAAAAAGGAGAAAAAATCTCGTATTGAAATGAAATTTCAATCAGAAATTTTCTGAAACTTGGAGATTATTTTATTGTTTTAAAAATACTTTTTAATTATATATTACTTGTAGCAAATTTATTTAATTACAAATAAAAAAAATTAAAGAAAATTATATAAATTTTATGAAAAAAAAAAACATGAAATTTTCTCAATTTCTTTATATAATTTATTGATCAATTAATGAATAAAGAAAATAACAGGAGACAGTAAATTTTAATGTATTTAAAAGACATGCAAATATTAAAAAAAAAACATCAATTCCCAAATTATAAATAGCTATAATTTATTTTTTACTGCATCAACTGCAATTAAAACCAATAAATTCACGAGGAATGATGGTAATAATATTTCTGTTTTGAAGAAAAAAAAAACTGATTTATGTTTTGTTTATTACATTTTTGGACATTTATAATATATGCATAAACATTTATTATGAATGAATGAATAAATGAAATAAAAAGTTTATAGATAGAAAAAGGAAAACAATTACTAATTATATATTTTTTTTAATGAATTTCATTGAGTGAAAACATCAAAACAAGAATAATTTAAATTGAAAGCTATAAACCTTGAGAATTAAGAAACAACACTATATATAAGTAAATAAAGATGTAAACTAAAAACATGAAGTAATAATAATTTAATAAAATATTAAATAAATCTGGACAAAGGGTGTCTTTAAACGGGATTTTTTAATTTAAAAAATGGAATATTTTATTACCCTTCCTGTTTGTATGTGACCAAAGCTCTAGTAATATCACTCGTATAGTTGTCGCCCAATGGTACTGCAGGTTTGCAGTCATACTTGAGGATGGAAATCGTACTATCGTCGAAGAACGTCCTCAGAGACTTCTCGAACAGCTCTTTGGTAATCCACTTATCAGACATATTGCACGGAATAATGTTTGTGATGAGGAATAGAGAGAAAGACTGGTACTGGTTTAGTATTCGGGATACGTCCATTTATATACACACTCACATCCACTGTCAAGGTGTATTAGTTTTAATTCCATGCAATTTACTGCATACCAGAATTCGTGGCATTCGACACAATAGATGCATGACAGTAATTGAGGGGGGAAAATTGACGAAACGTTAATGACTTATTAATATGTCGTCTATTCGATATGTTGTTTAAACCTTTGAGGCAATATTTTGTTCGAAAGTTATGTAAACGCGATTTCACTCTACATTTATTATTTACACGCACTTTCCAGTAAACAATTATCATCTTTTAATCACAAAAATCACAATAAAATGACATAAGAAGTAAATTCAATTATTAACTTGACAATTAGTATCATAATATGAAAATAAAGTTAAAACTTGCTAAGATTAAAAACGTAACTTAGTGAAAAACTTCTACTTCTAATAAATTGAAAAGTTAAAGTGAATACTCAAACTCTCCACCTTGGACATTATTAATATTTTCATTGAAAATTTGTTCAATTTCTAATGTATTTAGATTATTATTTTTTTTCTATTTACATCGATGAAATTTCATACACATTTGCATTCAAAAATGTGAAAAATCACAATTAAATAAGTTAAGTAATTCTATTACTGAAATCGTGAATTCATTATTTTTTTTTTGGATTTTATGAAGAAATTGTTAAAGAGTTTAGTGTAAACCGGTTATTCAAAAAGAAATTAAAATTCATGTTTTTTAAATGTACGTTAGTATTACATTATTTTTATTAAAATGTCCGATTTTTATTTATGAACTGATCGAAAATTGTACAATTTCAATTACTTTATTTACATACAAGTAATGTACGAAACCAGTTCTGTTTACAACCTCGGTTCAGATTTCACTTTTTCAGGTCATTCACATTGTAAATACTTAAGCTGCTACGCATTTCCTTAATTTAAATATTTTATTGGAAATTTTATCTTTTTAGAAAGAACTTTTCAAATTATTCGATTATAATGAAAATGAAATCTTAAGTTTTACTCTCCTTACTTCACGAAACTAGTTGCTTTCATGTAAAATTCATTCTTCCCTCTGTGAGGAATCCCGCATGGCTCTCCTCTGACTCCCTTTTGTCTTCGTTTGTTTCCTACGCCTCCTCCCTCTGCATCATTCACTCTCATGTTACCATACCTAAGAACCGTACGATTTATCCAGCGCCCTCTGTTAAATACAGGATTTCACGCCTCGATCATAAACTAAACTTCAATTCCCAAACTTCTTTAATAAATATCCATTCTTAACAAAGGTTTTCCTCTTCTTTCACGATGCCGAAATCCTGTCCTAAAAAATCTCTTCGTATCTGAGACTTGCGCCCTTCGTATCTTCAACAAAATACGACATCCTAATAATCGTCTTCAAAATCCTTAATAACTTCTGTATTCATAGGAATCCCAATATGCATTCCGAATATAAATTTCCCACATATTTCTTCATTGATTATAGTATGGTATTGTTACATAAGTTCGTTCGTATTTTGGTTAATGTTTTGGTTTGATTCTGGCTACATTTTAGTGTAAAGTTTATTTAATTTTCTATCTAGTTTGTCACCTTGTGTGAAGTGAAATAGTAGAGAAAACCCAACTTCTTGAATTTTATTTTTAAAAACGAACGAACTTATGTAACTCAATACATATACAATTATGTTTTGTGTTAATAATATTTTTAGCTATAAACTAAAAGAAACTAAGCAAATGTGCAGCACAATTTTTTTTCCGAAAGAATTAGTAAAATATTACGCTCACACAAGCTGCGTTCTGATAATTTAAATTATGGATCTGTTGTAGATTATTAACTTTGCTACACGTGCCAAAAAAAAAAAACTAACTGCGTGTTTGGAAAATATGAAATTATCCTATTAAAATAATAATTATTAAGTAGAACTACTTAAGAACAGACAAATGCAAGAAAACAAAACAATCGAAAAGAAAATGTTCTTTTGAACTATTTTAAGTGGTTTTCAAGGTTAAAAATATTGCAAATCAATAAAATTTTCTTGTTCTAAGTATGGAAAATATATAGTATTCTAAGTATAATTATAAATATTTGCATATTTATACATAGTCGGAATTCTGTAATTATTTTCTGTAATAATTGGAATTAGTATAAATAATAAGAAATAATATACCTGAAGTGACCATCAAACGTCCAGTTTGTAGGTAGCCTGTCCGATTGTCCCCAAGTATAGCTTCGTGATGCCTAAGCAGTGTTTTCATATTTCATTGATTTACATTGATTTATATGAAAGCTGAATGTTTGGGGAATCCAGCAAGTATAGAAACATTCCTGCGCTCTTATCCATATTGCTGTAATACGCGTTCAAATTTGAAAAATTGAAACTAGAACGTTCGAAAAGCAGTGTTTTCATATTTCATTGATTTACTCGAAAAGTATAATAGATAGAATTAATCCAATATATGCATATGAAAGCTGAAAGTTTGGGGAATCCAGCAAGTATAGATACTTTCCTGTGCTCTTATCCATATTGCTGTAATACGCGTTCAAAGTTTAAAAAGTGCTCGAAAAAGTAGTGTTTTCACATTTCAATGAATGAATCCAATATATGCATGTGAAAGCTGAATGTTTGGGGAATCCAGCAAGTATAGATACATTTCTGTGCTCTTATCGATATTGCTGTAATACGCGTTCCTTTTATGAAATCGAGGGGTGTGGGGAGGCGCCAAATGATTACATACTTTTGAGGGAGGCGTAGTAACATCAAGTTTGGAAACCACTGGTTTAGGGTCAACTGGCTATTGACCATAGGTCTTTCTGACCTATAATAATTTAAACATTATTTGATACTATAATTCATAAAAATTTAACAAAGTTTCATTTTCCTGACTATATTTTGTTCTTAAGACCGTAAAGAATAAGAGAAAATTTAACATCGAAACTGAATACATATGATGAATCAATAATTTCTTGCTTTTAAAAGACAATAAAGTGTTTGCAATTGTTTTAGTATGTCTGTAAAAAAAATAACTTCATCAGATAAAACTATTTTCAATATGTTTAGTAATCGCATCAATTTGTATTATTTCGATCCATAACTTTAACGACTTCTTTAATAAATTATCTGTCTTCATATGGACATTTGGCACGGGAAAAATTCTAAGTTGCCAAAAAAAAACTAGCTGGTTTGGTCTGTCATCTTTGTGTCTAAAAGAAGACAAGAGTTGTAAGGATTTATGTTTATTTTTTGGTAATTTGGAATTGATTTGGATATTGAGTTGAAAGGTGCTTTGATTTGAACGCTTCAATTATTCAATTTAACAAGATTTTATCGAAAACCGCACATAACTCAACGAAGATCCACATTTACCCACTATACGCTGCTCTATACAGTTGAATCTGTTTTTGTGTTGTTTATTTGTATGCGGTTTTAAAGTCCTCGTTTAGTGCGGTTTCAAACTATTGCTGCATATTTAATATCTTAATGAATTATATATTTTATTTACTTAGAATCAGAAAATTAAAAAAAAAAAGAAATTGCTTCAATTCGGATCAATAAAATTGTAAATAAAGTAGAACCTCGCATAACGAGCATTTCGCTTAACGAGCAAAATCAATTGTAAGATAAATGATTTCAAAATGGAACGCATTATCGTATATTATTACATTAATTTATATTCGTTTTTGTTTGTTTTCTGCAAATCGAATTCGAATTTCATTGGTTGGTTTATTCAGCGATAGAAGAAAAGATGAAGATAATTCACGCTCCTTAACAATGTACAGAAAATATTCTTTGAATAAACGTTATACATAATGTTTTGTTGAGTATTTTTTTCTGCATGGAACGCATTAAAATATTTTACATTAATTTATATTTTTTTTCCTTTAACAAGTGTTTCGCATTACGAGTAATACGAGTTATATAAGGTGGCGCAAAAATAATGTCATAATTTGAATTATCAATTGTTGCTCGCAAAACATCTGGTTCCAAATTGTCGATTTCTTCTTCAATGTTAGCTTTCAAGACTTGCAAGTTTTATGGTTTGTTGTGGTAAACGCGAGATTTAAAAAAAAACAGGGAAAACGAAGACGAAATTCACGTTGCGTTAAAAAAAGCAGACTGAAAATTTGTCAAATAAGCAGTAACAATAAATCAACATTCTTGAGATCCATGGCTTGTGGACAACTAATTCGCTATATATCTACATCATAAATGTCAAGGCACAGTGACATTTGGCGTCATCTTCAAAAATGGCAGCCATTCCAAATTATGACATTACTTTTGCGCCACCTTATATAATAAAATAAATCAATAAAAACACTTTTTTATTATTTTTAATGTTCCAAAAAAAAAACAGTAAAAAATAAACAATATAATGTGTGTACCTATTATCTTAAAATTATGTGTTATTATAAGTGAGCACGTAATGCAATAGAATTTGTATTATCGTGTTACCAACTACAAATTAAAAGTGACAAATGAAAGAAGAAACAAAAGTGAAAACAATGCGAACAATGGATTCCACGTGCAGATATTAATTTTCTTGGAAACATTTGTCGATAAATATTATAAATTATTAGATGCTAATTGGATGAGGTAAACGTTGCCTATTGTGCATAAAATAATTAAGGGAATTTAATCTAATGCACCGAGCCTATCCAAGTACGGTATGTATTGTTCCATAGACTTCTTGAATTTTTCGTTCGTGTAGCAGTGATGTCTGAAGCTGCCTTCTGTCGAATCGCCCATCAGATCTTCGAACGTTGCATCCTCTCTATGTGAAGCTCTGACCAATGGAGCTACAGTTGCTGCTCCCATCAAACCTAAAAGAAGAAAAAAGAAACAAATTAATTAAGATTATTAGTAGCAAAAATAGTTTTCTTCAGTCCGTCAAAATTAGTTTACAAGATTGTAATTACTTCAAGCTAAAGAAATGCATCATGAAATTGTAGAAAGTATTGAAATATTGGGTGAACAAAACGCTCAGAACTTTTTACTTCATCCAATATATAACAAAAGTTTCTTATTTAATTGTAGCCTTTTCAACATTATTGAATTCAACTTAAAATTAAGTTATTGGTTAATTTTGACGTCGAAACTAAGAAACTGATAAAGTACAATTATATAAATAAAAGCAAGAAAGAAAAAAAAAATAATTAAAAGGAACAAAATTACACTAATTATTTTTATGTTTTTTTTATATGTATTTGGATCATTGAATAACAGCAACGTTTTCATCATTATTTCAGGTGTGTTTTTCAAAATAATCTATTTTTTGGTGAAACGTCGATTTTAAAACGTTTTAATTAAATGAATTTATAACTTAATTTTCAGATTTTACCAAATTTTCGAATAATATGAAGTAATTCAAATATACTATTAATTATTAAATAGTGAAATGATATTTTTTTTTTAAATAACATTGTTTACGTACTAATAATTTGAAAATTTGAAAACATTTTCAACTAATATATGATGTAGACATAAGAAATCCACGGATTGTAAAAGACCTTGAGTAATAATTAAAAAAACAACATATTTTTAAAGCATAATATTTGGATGCAGATTATCTACTAATAAGTAGAACACGTGCGTAATCAACTAATTGTAACGTCATAGCGATAATTAAATAATAACTTGTACTGATTCAAAGTGAAATGTAGATAAAAATTATTTTTATGTTTGACAACTTTCGGACAGTTAAACAACATTTGTTGTGGATGTTACTTATTTGTTAAAAAAAAAAACATCGCACAAATAAAAACAAAGTATTTAGAGGTCGTATGATTAATGCTTCACAACTTACGTAAAGTTAAAAAACGTGTCTTGTAGATGCTATTTAAATAGGTGATTAATTTATTGATTGTATTATTTTATTTGAATTTATTATATTTTATTGTTATAAACAAATATCAACTGGAAAAAAGCTACTTTTTATTACAAAAAAATAGGTTTTTTTTAACGTTAAAATTAAATAAACAATTTTTTTTGTTTTTCTTAGATAACCTATATATTTTTTTTTATTGAAATAGACAATTCTCCATGGCAACAAAAAAAATGAGTTTTAGATGTTTGTTTTCATTTTTCTTTTGTTAGTATTTATGTCATATTTCAATTGACATTGGAAAGTAAAACGCGAAAAATTAATTGTTCAGGCAATGCGGGAAAGGAAAATTTTACGATAATTACCTTGCAGCGCTCTTGAATTTAAATCTTTTCGGAATTCCTCTCTAGACGGAACGCTCGATAAACTGTAATTCATGTTGGACAGAGTCGCCAGCAAGTGTCCATAATACGAATCCAACAGAGTTTCCATGTGCAACTTTCGCACTTCCTCGCTGGGACTCGTCGCAAGGAAATAGTGAAGATCAACTGCTGGACTCGTATAATGCACGACTTGGAAGTCGACCTGTTAACAAAGAAACAACAAAATATATTGTAAATTAAAATTAATTGGTTTTGTTTTTTTCTTTTTGTATTACAAATCTGAGATCTTTCAGTTTTCCGCTGTTGGCGTGATACGAGAAAAGCATGTTGTTAACCCAAAGATCGCCGTGATTGATGACATTGAATCCGCCCAGTTTCTTCCTGCAGGATTCGTCGGCTTTCATCAAGATGTCGGGGAGTAGCTTCTGCATCTTCGCACCGTACTTCTCCAAACCTTAAAGAGGAAAATTTATTGTGAGAATGGGTAATTTTTTGATTTTTTTTTTTTTGATGTATTATCACCTTGCCATTGCAAACAACTTTCTGCGAGCGATTCGACTCCTTTCCGCATCCACTCGCTTACTAAGTCATTCTTTGAGTACATTCCAGATGAATAGTTTTTCATAGCCGATGGATCCTAAATAATTGAAAATGTTAAACGTCAAATATTTGCAATAATTTTATAACAATTGTGAGAAACGTGTCTCACAATTTATTTTACAAATTATTATTCTAAATTACTTCAAGAATTATTAAAATACGTACAAGAACTATATTAGCGTTTAAAGTTTGTAATTGACGTAAGATATTTAGGTTATACTCCGTTAAAATCAGTGGCGTGCATAGAGACTAAACTGTTATACATCATGTGTGACCCACCGGTGGGTCATGCAGTCGTCAAATATATTACAACTAAACTATTAGGTATTATAAAGCAGTTTTTTCGCAATTATGTTTGTTTTGAAGGAGTCCTGTCAATGTTATGATTTTTTTACTTTTGACATTTTTGACTGTATTAGCGTTTAAAGTTTGTAATTGACGTAAGATATTTGAGGTTATACTCTGTTAAAATCAGTGGCGTGCATAGAGACTAAACTGTTATACATCATGTGTGACCCACCGGTGGGTCATGCAGTCGTCAAATATATTACAAGTAAACTATTAGGTATTATAAAGCAGTTTTTTCGCAATTATGTTTGTTTTGAAGGAGTCCTGTCTATGTTATGATTTTTTTACTTTTGACATTTGATAGATGTCACTTTTAGCTTACTTTATATTCAATTTTAACATAAACTGCAAACATGAATATTTTCGACTTATTTTACTTTTTTATTGATTGCTTAACTCTTAACCAAAAATTCATAAATTGTATCGGATGGTATGGATCAACATCGGATGGTATGGTCTATCAAGATTCATCCTTTGACATACTAACCAAATTAAAGGATAAATCCTCTTTTCTGAAAATTAGTTTTCATGTAAAAATTGGTTTTAAAAAAATCAAAATTTGTATTCAAAAATTGACACACCAATTTAAATTAAATCATTAATATTTATTTTTTTAAACGAATCATTACTGCTAATGAAAAAAGTATCATGTACAAATAGCATCAATCAAAAAACCATCATGGTCCAACGTGATGAAACAGCACAAGTCACATCAAAAAACTAAATTTCATCAAAAAAAAAGGAGAAGCTTTCAAGGAACCAAACTATCAATTCATAAGTGTCAACAAGTAATGAAAATGGAAAAACTACTAGAATTGAGAAATCACATAATAATAATATTGTTTCGAGATAATGCAAGACCTCATACATCTTTGGTAACTTGTGAAAAATTATTGGGAAATGACCTCACATTCCCCATATAACCTTGCACCATTATATTACTATTTATTTCGAAGATTGCAAAACTCTTTGAAACTTTCACTAGTGATGATGACATAAAAATAGCCAACACCAGAAGTTGTAGAATTTTCGAATCATTATGTTAACAGAAATATGGCAAAAGGTCATATATAATTGATTGAAGTTCATACCTTCTAAAGGGTATCCCAAAATTAACGCAAGATTTGAATTTGCCGCCATTCAATAAAAAAAAATCACAATCTGAAGACTAAAAACTGTGTTTTCTATTTAATCCAAATATTGCGTTAATTCTGGGACAGCCTTTATGAAAATACCGAAATTACCCAATAGTTATTAATATTTATTAAAAAGTTATTTTGTCCACATATTTTGTTCTTACTATTTCTGATACTTTCTGTACTAAACTTGAATATTATATAAAATGTTAAATTAAAAAAAAAAGAATAAACTCTAAATGTAATAATTTAAAAATATGAAAGTCAGTTCTTCATTTTTAAACAACAATAAAAAAAAATGTAAAACTGCAGTCTTTCCAAATAATTTTCTTATTTTAGTAAAAGTCAAATCAATTTTAGTTTAAACTTAAAATTACATGGGATACTTTTCAAAACACTTGTCAATTATATTTATTAAACGCTTTTTTTTTTTGTAATTTTTGAATTAAGTAGACAAATCCGTGTTGCGTAAATAAGTTGTTAAGTGTAAGCCCATAAGCAAAAGTCTCGTTTATAGGAATGATTAATAGAAGAACGTGTTTACATATTCTAGGTACATCAAGTAGGTCAAAGTCACAACGAGACTTCCATTACTAATACATTTAAAATCTAACTAATATAAACAACGATTCAATATACTGACCTTATCTGTTACTACGACGGACGCAGCATGAAACTGCGCAATTTTCTTCATCACCATCTGACAATGCTCCAAGTCCAAACCCATTTGTCTCGGTACCATTTTGAATCCAAGCGGTTGCAGATCTTGAAGAACCAGAATCGCATTCGGCTCGTTCTTCGTTAAAAGGGATAAGGACGATAAACATCCTTCGTAATCGGGGCCTGAATAATATAACAAAGTTGTTAACAATAAATACAAAGATTAGATATTTATTATTCATCAGAGAGTTGATTATTAATCGAAGATGTACGTGACACAGTTGGGAATGATTATAAAAACAAATATTATGGTACATGACGTAACGTTCTGCGCTCGAAGTAAGCCATGTAAAATATATAAAATGGTCTTTTGCATATGAAATTAGGTAAATGTTTTGTTACATAAAATTACAATTCATAGATAAATAGTTGAGCAATTTAAATGAAAAACATTCTCACATGTAAACTGCAAAATTGTATATAGTTTTTTTTTTGGGCCTAAATGAGACTAACAAATATTTGTAAATTAATTAATTAATAGAAAAATAAAGAAATATTTTGGAAAAAAGCATTTAATACATTTAGACCAGTGATTCTCAAAGTGGTCTATATCGACCCCCAGAGTTTGGGAACCTCTGATTTAGACAGATACTATTGTAAAGAAAAACATTTCCAATTATCATTTTAGACATATTATAACTTTCAATAGTTAAGTGAAATAGCTAAATGAAATAGAAATAAAGCTCATAAAATGAGACTTGATTGTATGAAGTGCAAAACTGGTATATAAAAAATAATTTGATGTACTCATTTTTGAGAATTTATTTTGTTGATTGATTGAAGCCTGACTATGCAAGATATTGATATACATTCTACATAATATTTATGATTTTAATCTACACTTAATTTACATTAGTTTTATTATGATTTAAACGTGTTAATTGTAATTAACGTTAGAAATCATTTAATTAGTTTCAAATTTGTTTTCTATTAAATTTACTTTAATATGAAAGTACAATTGATATATGAAACGTTAAACCTTGCACCAGATTTATTTAGATCAAATTCCATTAAAGTCTCAATATAATAGACGCCACGTGCTACACGCAGGTATTTTAAACAAAGTTCATTAGTTTTATCAAAGTATTATGTTTTACTTGCAGCATGTAGACCACTTTATTATTAATTATTAACTATAATAGATAGAATGAATCCAATATATGCATATGAAAGCTGAATGTTTGGGGAATTCAGCAAGTATAGATATATTCCTGTGCTCTTATCCATATTGCTGTAATACGCGTTCAAAGATGAAAAATTGAAATTAGAACGTTCGAAAAAGCAGTGTTTTCACATTTCATTGATTGAATGAAATGTAAATTGATTTGTTAAACTTATATTGTCTAAATATTTCGTACAGTGCGCGTAATTGTTTCCCGCAATATTCCGGACTAATCGAGGAACTAAATACATACAAAAATGAAACGAATGATTTATTTCTTTTTATCAATTACATATTAGAATTAGTAATCATTTGATGAATAATGATAATAATTGTTTGTATATGCTAATAATTGTTCAGGAATATATTATATTACTATTCATGAATTCAATTGATGGTTAATTAATTGTTACAAATCGTAAACATAATTATGGAAATCGAAGCAATTTCAACTAGTTCAAGGTGAAAAGTTACATAAATTAATTGTGTTTCCTTATCGAAATGTGTTTTAAAACTTATACAACAATTATAAAAAAAAAATATATTTCATCCAATTTACTAATCTTTTCGTTTGTAATTAATAGTTTAGCTATAGTTATGTTATGAGATCTTACTTTTAATTGATTATTGATCAAAGAGAGCTCGAAACATCTTGATTCAAATAAAATATGAATGAATTTGCAATTTAAGATTACTTATAAAAAAAATGTTTCATCTAATTTAGTTTTTCCTAATCTCTTAAAATTAGAATTATCTTTTTGTTTAAGTTTTTTTATAATTAATAGTTTAACTATAGTTTTACATATGTTTTGAGATCTTGCTTTTAACTGATTATTGATCAAAGAGTCCTCAAAACATATGGAATACGAATATATTTTCCTGAGTATTTTAGCAGTAAAAATACCGACATTGAATGTATGATCATACCAAAACGAGTAGTCAAAAAGATGATATATTTTTCAGTTTATCATTCCCTTATTTTTGGTAATAACGAGAATATGTTATTATAAAATAAGCTTTTCCGGGTCTGAAATCTCTTTCTTATTTCATTCGAAGCCGACAGTTTTGATGCGTTTGTCTTCTACATCCGTGGTTCTTAACCGTTTAGTAAATTTAGTAAATTTTATAATATTTTTGCAGCCCACTAATTTAAAATAGTGATTTTATATCTTAAAACGATAATTTAAACTTAAATCATTTGTCAATTGTAATCGTAGATTGATAAATTCTGTTACAAATCCAATTTCAATTACTTTATCCAATTCAAAATTATCTGTAATAAACTGAGAATCATTTGGAAACATTTCAAAAACATTCGATTCTTACTAATGGATCTTGCATGGAAAACATGTTGTGTTGCATAAATAAATGTAGTTAGTTTATAATATTTTGAAATCCAATTTTTGGCGTCGAAATAAATGAACAATTTTTTTTTATCATTTAGAAATATTTCATGGCAATGTGTCACAGAGAAGTTAAATGGTTTATCAGAATGTCAGTAATTGAAATATTTCTCTTTTTCCAAATTGATTCCAAATCACTATTATAAAAACTCATTCAAGTTTAAATTGAATTACACTTATACAAAACTATAAATAACACTTAATAATTGTACTTAGTATATGAAAATAATACAATTATTCTTACCTAATGCATCGTACATTAGTGGTAGAGTTTTACTAAACATTTCCATTTCCTTAGAGAAGAACTGAAGTCCGGCCGTTAAAAATCCCATAACCGTGTCCTTGAATTCGATTTTGATTATTACAGACATGCTCTCCTGAGATTCACTGAAATATATAAATATAACATAAAGTATTGTATTTATAATATAGTTAGAATTAATGAAATTTGTATATATGGATACAAAATGTATAATTTATAAATAATTAAAACAACGAACAAAAACGTATGTTGTTATACAATAAATTACCACGGCAACATCATAACACTGATAGCATTTATCAATATAACAATAACAAACGAACAATAAAATTAGAATTTTAAATAAATGAATGAAATTTCGTAGATTTTAAACAATATACTATTATGTTGCCATGCCAACATTACTTTATCAAACAATATTTAGATACAAATTTTATATTACCATAACAACATCACAATATAGACATAATTAAGCTTGTGAACAAAACAAACAAAAATTTACAACAAAAAAGAAAAAAAAAACATTGATTCGACCATTTACTTAAATATAATTAGTATTATTCAATTCGTTTAAAACATTGTAATTATAATATAACGTTTTCTATGGCAATTTTCATCAACATTCAAAGAGTGAGGTCTTTCATAATTTTAATTTCAGTTTTTTTTTTGTGGGAAACATCTGATCATTCTTTCATAAAGAAAACTATAACATTAAAAGATGTTCACACAAACAAAAAAAACTATAATAAAAGTGAATCAAAGTTGTCTTAAACTATTAAATTCTTCACAATTCACATAACATAATTACCAAAACAAGTATTAATATTCACGAAAAAAAAAAATGAGTTTATAAATAATAAAAATTACATAATTGCTAAAAAAAATGGCAAACAAATTCATTTCTAAATTTCACCATTGTTATACGATTGTAATTACACGTGTTTCCTTCTGTTTTTTTTTTTTAAATTTTGTATTGCAAGCACGAATACCTTGACCTAACGATAATATTTTTAAAAATAATAATAATATAATTAAAAATAATTTCATAATTCAGAAAATAAATTATAATTATTCGTAATTACAACTACTTTTATAGAAATTGAAACTCATTTCGAAAATGTGATGACATTTAATAATTTAATGATACAGCAAAACTATACGAGATAGTCGAATTTTTAAATAAACAAAATAAAAATATGGAAATGTATTTCTCAATTTTCAACATGATTTTACATTCATTTTAATACGATCAAGGTCAATTATATACCCGTGACTTTCAATGAGATGTTAATGAAATGTTTATTTTCTAAATTACATAATTAAAATTTTCATCATTTTTCATTTCATAAATATTAAACTTAATGGAAAATATCAATATTATTTATATTAATAATGTATTTTACATTAATATATTGTTACTTAGAAATGTTGTGTGAAGTTTTAAAGTAATAAATAAGTTATAATTGTAACAGATTTATTTTATTAGTATTTGCTTGTTTATGTATTTATAAGACACTTACTTTGATAATGCGAATGTAACTTGGGCACGATACAATTGGCTCGTATAGTTATCACCGATGGGAACGGCAGCTTTCACCGAATATCCAAGAATTTTAATGTTCTCATCTCCCAGGAAAGTCCGGAAGGATTCCTCCAGCAATTCCTTTGTGACACACTGCTGCGTTGACATTGTACTAAAAACGAATACCCAACAATTACTCAGATATATAAGTTCGCGAATTTTATAATAAAAAAAGAAAGAAAAGTTTCATTACAAAAATTAAATTTCATATTAATATTTAATATATATATGCTAATAAGTACTATGTATACTCTTTATCGAGTACAGTTTTGTGGAAAGTTCCCACGACAAGCTTATCGTCACTTGCAACAAGGTTTTATTGCACTAACATCTGCATAATACAATAAAACCTTTTTTTTTTTGGAGAAACACTTTGGTTTCTCATGTTCTGCTAATTTTTACCACCCGTCTAGGTCAATTGGCAAATTAGCCCTTACCCTTAGAATATTACTTCGTATTCAGGACGTCTTCTTATGTTATTTTAAGTTGGTCCTAGTCCTAGTTAGTCTGAGACTCATGTGAATCCTAGGAAGAACCTAGTCCTAGTTTGACTCTACTCTTGACCAGCAACCTATGCTTGTAGCAACTGGAAGCTAGATTACGACACTGAAGCATCTAAGTGTTAAATAAATACTATTAAGTACACTGACTTTAATCTAGACTCTTCCATAAAACCCACTAGGACTCCACATCTACAATACAATAAATTATTTCACAGTGTTCAGAGATATTCTATCCCGGGACACGACAACGTATTTAATAAATCCATGCAGTATAGATTTAGTACTGAACGACTTTGAAAACACTTTGGACAGATTTTAGTAAAAGTCGCTAAACTGGAAATTATGACTCAAGAAAAATAAGTATTTAATTTACTAAATAATTATGTTATTATTAAAATTACAGAAGTAGATATATAAATATGGGATGTATTTTGACACCTTGCCCCATTTAGACTACGTTTAACACAACAAGTCGATCGGCGACAAAGTTTTAAAATAAAAGGAAGATCTTGTGTACACAAAAGTTGTCCACACCTGCTATATAATATCATTAAGTAAATGGTCAGAAAATATTCTATAAACTACAAACTAATTAGATACAGCAATACTTCGCTTAAGGCGGTTTCAATCAGTCCGGATTCATTGTAAAAGCAAAACGAAAAAATTCAAAATAAGTTTTTTTCTCTAATAAATTGATTATTTACTATCTGCCACATGCTGGCAACGAGTAAATAGTTTTGAAACTGTAACAAAATGTAACACTGAAAAATTGAAAACCTACCGAATTACATAATAGAATAACAATAAAAATATAAGGGAGATCAAAGGTGTTATACCTTTTTAGTCTATGGGAGGGTTTCACTATTGTCTATTGTATTGGGGGTGCTTTTTTAATCAATTTTGATATCGCTCACTAAACATAGTAATTTCACTTTTCGCGGTATTTATTTGGAGGTCATTGATCACGTCGTTTGGATTATTACATTTCATTGATTTACTCGAAAACTGTAATAGATAGAATGAATCCAATATATGCATATGAAAGCTGAAGGTTTGGGGAATCCAGCAAATATAGATACATTCCTGTGCTCTCATCCATATTGCTGTAATACGCGTTCAAAGTTGAAGAATTGAAATTAAAACGTTCGAAAAAGCAGTGTCTTACATTTCATTGATTTACTCTAAAACTATAATAGATAGAATGAATCCAATATATGCACATGAAAGCTGAATGTTTGGGGAATCCAGCAAGTATAGATACATTCCTGTGCTCTTATCCATATTGCTGTAATACGCGTTCAAATTTGAAACAAAAAAATAATAATAAAAACAATGGTTTCTTAGAAAGAATGTGGTATAACGAGATTTATGATCGGCAGTTCATGTTGACGGAAAATTTTATTTATTCAACGCATGGAACAAAATACAATTGCTAAGAAAATGCACGTGCATATATAGAATAATTATCTCAAAAAATATAATTTCCGACTATCTAATTTGTAAATTAAATCGACATCGTTAATTGTTAAGTTGACAATTAAACGATGTGACTAATTTTGTTATGAATAAATGAATGAATATAAATCAATCATGAGAATTTATGATAAATACTGATCGTATTAAATTATATTTATTCTAAAACTGATTTACTAACCTATTTAAACAAAAACAAGACCATTTACTCCAATCCAACTGATTTAATTGTACACTGATTTATTACAATTTATTACCAACCAACATCAATAAATGTTTAAAGTTATTGCAATTATAATTACAAAGATATTTCAACTAAATGAAATATTTACTGTTAACTTTTAGGGCCCTAGTTTTTTTATTTATTTTTTGTCCACTTTAATTGAATGGTACACTTAGTCACAGCCCATAAAAGCTACGTCTAAAAATACTAAACACAAAAATGATTGAATTCGTTCAATCGATTAAAATATACAATTAATTATTTTGATATGTTCACTTTCTTATCAAAAAATGACTTGATATTTTTACACGGAATATTCTGATATTTAATGGATCGATTAAATAATCTCTTCTTTCACAAATTGCACATAAAATTATTTATAATTTGTGAGTTTATGGTTTATCTAGCAAAACGTGCAGTGATTTTTTGCTTAATTACTTTCACTATCTCAAATCTTTGCACAATAATTCAGATAAGGACAAATACTGAAAAATTTACATATATTTGATAAAAAAAAAAAAGTAATTAATAAATAAAGGATATCGGTGACATTCGAAATCCCGACAGTATTGAAATCCCGACTCCCGAGATTATTTCATAATGTTATTGTAAAAATTTTCGATTTTCGGGATGTTGATACAGTCGGGATTATGGTTGTCGAGATTCTGACACAATAGGGATTATGGTTGTCGAGATTTTGATATAGTTATGATATAGTATGATATGTTTTATTCAATATTGTAATTATTGGAAATATAAAAATAAATTTTATTTATCAACAGATAACTTTAATCTTATAAGCAACATTTAATAATTAACAAATTCATACAAAAATATTTGATTTTGTCTCAAAAAGTATTTTAAATGGAACACTTTTTTTTTTGTAAAATATAATACAAAGAGCTATTGAAATGATCATTTAAATAAACTTTTAACTTAAAAATCTTAATTATAATTAGTCTATAAACATTACTTATCAATTGAAATAGTTTGTTGACCTTTGGAACAACTAAGATCTCACATAAAGTGAACATAACTGGTATCAATTGATAAAATTAATACGTACTTTGATATAACTATAAAATAAAAAACTATAAAATGTTCAGTTTGCAAAAATAAGATAAGATATTAATTTAGTATAACTAAATTAATATCTTATTTGTATATTATTTCAATAAACAAAAACTTTTAACATTTAATTATGTTTTATAGAAAAAAAAAAATCTTCAAACTAATTCCATTTTTAATGTATATACGAATGATATTAGTTATTTGGTACAGTGGCATGGTTTTTAGGAATTGCAAAATTATAAAAATAAACACAACTAACCCAAACTTTTATTGAATTTGGATTGAATTAGAACAGTTTATGTCCCCCCAAACAGTATTAGTACAGAACCTTCACACGAAAGAATTTAGCACAAGTGTTACCCAGAATTAACAGTCCGCTTCTGATTTTATAGAAGAAACGTGGATTTTCATCAAATTGTAAACTTTTCTTAACATTAAATTGCATATTTTTGATCTTATTTTTTATGAATTAACTGACCTTTATATGTAAAAATGTAAAAAACAATGCGGGAAAACCAAACTATAAATAACTGGTAACAACACGTATTTTCTTTTATGAAATTCTTTTTAACACGGAAACTTATTTTATCTGTATTTTTTTCATAAACAGTTTTTTTCTTTTTAGATTTAGTAACGAAATACAACCTATTATAATATGCAAACATTTCAATGCCAATGAACTGTTCTCACCTTGAATTTTATTTTGCATTAAAACCAAAAAATTACAGTTTATTAATGTTAAACTTACGTTCAGTTGTTGATATTTGAATGGACACAAATTCTTTTCGTCGGTTTACACCTTCTAACTTCGTTAGTAGGATAAGAGAAACCTAAGAGTAACGACACAACAAATATTACAAGTACGAATGCACGAGTCAAAAGATTCATCGTACTTTATATATATACACGCCACATGAGAGTGAGATCATTCCTACTCAACTGCAATTTTTAAGCGAAGCAATAATTTCAATGTTTCACATTTATAAATGAATTGAGACGTAGAGAATAGATAATAACAAAAATACACGAGACAATTAAAGTAATTTCATATTAGATCCCTTTGTTACATCGACATTCAAGAAATGTCAAAGCATACATTATTATTTTGTATATACGTAATTAGGGAGGATGCATGTACATGAAGTCATTAAAATACGTGTATTTAGAATTACACGCGAAGTCGAAATTCGTGGAACTTTTTTGGCCTTTGAAACGAGATTTCCGAAAACGACGACTTTTTTTTTTAATTGCGTATCATTTAATAATTCATTATATAATTGCAGTTAAAAAAAATCGATTAAGTATGTAAATAACTATCGTTTCTGTATGCGTTTTTTTTTATGAAGCAGTGGTATTTGTGTCGTATAATTTTATTCACAATCTGTTCATCAATGTGAACATTGAGTAAATTTAAGATTAGATCTTTCCATTGTCCATCGACTTCTATCATTGTTTTTCATAACTAAATGTGATATAAATTTTGTGATTTTTTCTATAAAATAATTGAATTATTTAAGTTACAAGTTTTATAATTGAAATTTCTCATTTAGTTTTTGCGAACTGTTGAACATTTTGAATTGCTTATCATATAGCACAGGGTTTCTCAAACTATGAACACTGGTGTAAAATTCTTAAAACAAACTAAATTTGAATTGAACACAATTAAATGAATTCTAAAAAAAAAAGTACACAAAATCATTTTCATACATAAATAACCTTTTTTTGATGTTAAATTACCACAAGTAGGGTAAAAATTAAATTCTTGGAAATTAAAATATTGTAAGTTTGTTTTACTCCGAAGACAGTGTTATTGAATCGAAAATGAAACGTCGACGTAAACAAATATATTTTGGAGTAATAGGTACAAAAGTTCTCCGACTCCCTGCTCAATCCAATTATGTCTCGTTTTGTGCTGTTTGTTTTTATGCGGTTTTAATACTGTCGATTAATCCGGTTTGAAACAGAATTTAGTTTTGTTGTAAAAGTATAATAATTTATTGGGAAAATCTTCAGGCTTGGAAGATTTGCAGACACAATTTTATTGTTTAGCTTAAGGGTTCCCAAACTTTTTCGGCGCTCTTAAAATATCCAGTCAAAACATTGATCCATCTCAGGGCGAACTTTATATAATAGGGCATCAAACTGAACAGGTCCATAGATGCGTTGCAAGCGGTGATCAACATATCGAAGAAAGCAAGATTTGGTACTAGAAGCAACAGAAAGTGATCAGGGCGAGAAATTAATGAACTAGACCTAGACTCAGTAACGAACCTAGAACCTATGCTTCTTAGAACATGAATTCTAGACGAAGAAGTTGTCAATAATTGTATAGTGAATAATAAAGTGTTTATTATCAAACTTCACCTCTAGCAATCCTTAAAAACTCTACTCTCAAGAGATATTCCA